TAAATAAATAAATAAATAAATAAATAAATAAATAAATAAATAAATAAATAAATAAATAAATAAACAAACAGACACCAGACAAAAAAAAAACCCTGCTACCCCTTTGGGGAATAGGCGGTAACGATAACGGATGGATGGATGACAGAAACCCAAAAACCAACCCTGGGGGGCCGTGAACTCCAGCTCCGGGCTGCTGTCGCTCAGCCGCTCGCTCAGCTCCGACCCCGTCCTCACGCTGACCGCGTAGGTGGCCCCGGCCTCCAGGTCCTGACCCGATATTTCGTACACAAACCGGCCGCCCGCCTCCGCCGGTCTGACCCGCTGGACGGTTGGACCCTGCGGAGAAGGAATGGTCAGAGCTTCAGTTGATTCCCCTGACCTTTGACCTCTCCCGGGTGTAGTGGATAGAATGGGTTTCTGCATGCCGTGGTGATGACGTGCACTAATTGGTCATGTGGTGTTGGGGGCGGTAGCATTTGAAATATCACCTGTTCACTCGCAAGGAGACAGTTTTAGTAGTGAGTGGGTGATGGGGGAAGCCTACTTTTTGCTGACCGCTTTACGCTTTACGCTTTACACCTTATGCTTTTGGATCGGATCGAATAAAGTTTGCGGTGAACGTTCACTCTGGATTAACGCTCGTTGGATTATGGATGCCTATGAACTGATTCAGTGACGTGTTTTAATGTTGGATTACCTGAAGATTAAATAAAGCAATAACACTTATAAGACTTTGGACTGGCGTTTTGAACATCTAGCGCAGTATTTTTCAACCACTGTGCCTCGGCACACTAGTGTGCCGCGAGTGATGGTCAGGTGTGCCGTAGAAAATCATCCTATTTCACCTAATTGGTCTAAAAAGATTTTTTGATAAGGAATTAATTATCTGCAAATAATTTTTGAGCGTCTGTGCTGTTCTAGTGACTGGTGGCGTAATCATGTAATAATTCCTCATGACTAGATTTGGTATATAATTTTGTATATTGAAGTGGACATGTTAAGTGCAATTTGAAAGAAGAAATATAAAATATGATAAAAATACATTTTTGTGTTTATTTGATTCCTATTCAAGACGCTTAAGATAAGATAAGAATAACTATAGTGTTACTATAGGCGGCTACAGATTTTGTTTTAACATTTTTGGTTGGTGTGCCTTGTCATTTTTTCAATGAAAAAATGTACCTTGGGTCAAAAAAGGTTGAAAAACACTGATCTAGCGCGTCTGGCTCGTTAGTTTCCCCCCTAATCAGCTTCTCGGCGACCTAAAAGTTTGTTGACCAGTCGCCAATACCGGGCCCAGCCCTATATCTCACCTGCCCGCCCTCCTTTTTGCGGTAGGCCACCTCGGCCTTTAGCCCGGCACTGTGGCAGCTCTCCTCTTGGCTCCATTGGACCTCGACGTTCCCGTTGGATTCCCTCACCGACAGATCCGTTGGAGTTTGGGGCTTCACTGACCAAAAATGGAGAAAAAGACGGGTCAGGGAGAACCGGGTCCAGTCGGTGGACCTTCGACAGAAGTCTGCGCACGGCTGCTGGAGGAACTGATCTCTCTGGACTCCACAGGTTGGTCTTGTTTCCAGACGGTCGCGCTGTACGTCTCCTCCATGACGAACTGGATCGGAACCGAGCAGCAGCACCATCCGGACTCACACGGACTCACAAAGGGGCAATCCAGCACCCTGGTGGTAAAAACCAGACCCTCAGATCTCCCAACGGACACCATAGAACGTTTCAAGACGCTCAAACTCGCAAATGAAAGACCACCTGCTGCCTTAACCCTTTAAAGCCCGATCCAAGAATAAAACAAAACAGAAAATTATTTTTTTTGGGGTTTGAATTCCTTATTTGGCCTTTTAACAAAATATGTAAAAAGAAAAAACAGAAATACTTTTTGTAATATTAATAATTTATTACTATGCGATTAGTCAAGATTATTTTTTGTGTAGTCTTCTGCCCCCTGTTATCAGGTGTATCTGATTGTGTACAAGAGGATTTTGAGCAAAGTTTTTACCATTAAATTAAGCTAAAGGTGTCAGATGGAAAACATTTCAGAAACCGTATGTATCAAATATGATACATTTGGCATTACAGGGTTAAAAACGCAATTTAACCCAACTTGTAGTTCGTCTTTGTCTAAAATTGGAAATTAAAGTTTAAAAATATGATTGTATTAGATTGTTGTAGTTGGCTCAGCTCTGTTTTTGAAGTTGTCAAAGTTGATTGAACTTTTTATTACTCTCTGTCTCAACTTAAAACTTTGAGTTCAATCACAAAATAATTAAACATTATCAATATAAGAAAACTGTTAATTACTTGTTGTTTCAATGTAAAAATGCAGATTAAAACAAATAAATATTAAACATCCCCAATGCAAAAACTTTCCTTATAGCAAATTTGAAATTTAAGTCATTTTAACTTGAAATAGTGACTTATTTTTACTCAGAACAGTGAGTTACAGTAATGCTGAAATGTGTGTTTCTTAAACTACACGACAGAACACACAGAATTCTCGCAATTTGTAAAAAAAAATGTATAAGAAAAACATGTCTGTAGGCTCAAACATTGGCTTACCATACAATAAAACCTCATTCTGAAGGAAAACTCTCAATATTGTGTGAATACCCATTCTGATACTCTAAATAAAACTCAGATAACTGGTTCATCAAAACCTCAATATGGAGAAAATGATCCATTTTGAGAGATTTACGCATGGAATTTACGGCATTTACGCACGGTTTCGTCCTCGTAATTGAATGGAAATGGGATTGGGGACCCCTTACTTGTCCCCGTGCTGTGCCTGGTGGTCAGTCACCGTCAGGTTGTAGCCGCTGCAGTCCTGCTCCTGCGGCTGGAAGCGGCAGGACATGCTCTCACAGCCGGTGCTGCAGTCCAGACGCGTCCCGGAGCCTCTACTGCTGTCCGGAGCTGCCGGGGCGCGCGCACAAGTGAGGTTACCGGTCAGCCTCGCGAGTTTATGGTCAGTTGAAGATGCGCAGATTACCTGATGGTGCCGGGATGAGAAGCAGGAGAAGCGGCGTCCAACGTTGGAGAGACCCGGGCAGATCCCGGGTTTTGCGCATCGCAACGCGGAGAGGAATTTTTTTAAAAAGGAGCACAGGGTTGGAGAAGTCTGCAGGCCAGTCGCAGTCAGGAACGCAGAAAAGCAGAAATAAGCAGACAAGTTGCTAAAGAAAACCAAAACACGCAGGCTGGAGCCTCGCGCTCCCCTCGCGAGGAACCCCGGACGTGACCGTGCTGCGTAAAAATGGGCATCCGGTCCAAAAGTGACCTGTTTTTTGCATATCACATATGAAAAAGAAAGTCGATATAGATCCCACTACTTTGTACCGTTAGCATAAAAAGCATCTTACAAATAAGGAAACTGTCCAAGCACAGATAAGGAGAATGAATAATGAATGTTCAAATATTCATATACTTCAGTAATGAAGTTCAAATATATACGGGGAATTAAAAACTGGGTTTCAGTTATGTGGGGGAAAAAAAAAACCCATAGGAGCTGATCTGTAATTCATGTACTGACATGCTGCAACTCGAAGAAATCTTTCCGAAACAACAGCAAAGGGCCTCTTTCCAGAGAAGGGTTTTCCTTCGAGTTCCAAAGAGAGACAAATGAAGCAAGGCTGGAACTGATAAAACTGATAAAACCACAACAGTTATGTTTCCTACGGGGCACCGACAGATGGCATTTGAGTAGGAAACACAAGAAAAGACGTCGTCGCTGTTTGAAAAAGTCTCATTTTAAATCTTAATTCAATGTAAAGCTTAAATGTACATCTAAAACAGAACAAATATGATGGAATATTTCAGGGTATGCAAAAAGCTTAATTTTTAGTAAGTTTGCAATGGATGTCATCATCTAATTCAACCTGGTACCATGACAGTCATAAATGAAAAAACTCTTTGAAAACCACACTATTTAGGAAATGTGCTTAAAAAGAATAATATTTACCGTTTGCCTAAAATAAAAAATTTGGTAATTGATCAAATCAGAAGTAGAAATGGTTGGAATTCATTACCAAAAGCTGCTTAAAGAAGAAAATAAAAAAAGGTTTCGAGCCGTTTTTGCTATTTAAACAAGCAAATAATGGTCACATTCCTCCAGGTTGGACCCTTAAAACTGTGTGAACTGCAGCAAACATACTAACCTGTCCACAAAAGGCGCCTTTCCACAACTTTATTAAATATGCACATGACAGCGTTCATACAGCTCAGCATTAACACGGTTTACATGGATTTATGCCCCCAAAAAGAAATAAATAAAGCCACACCGAATGTCTCATTTAAGATAATTTATTTTATACAGTAAAACAGAGGTTCGGGTCATGCTTCGTGAACACGACAGCAAAGGATGAACAGAGACACAAACTTTGAAAGCAGCCCTTTCCCAACATTTGCGCGTGTATTGAGTATCTTACAAAGATAGCTAATCAATAAACTCAGCGGTCCATTGCGAAAAAAGCGTCCAATGTGTGATGTGAACTGCTGCTAGTGATGAGTCCTCGCGGGGGCAAACACATTTTACATGTTTTGTTTTTTTTTAGGGGGGAAAGGTGCGTTCAAGAACGCCACAAATCTCTAAATCGGACTCTTATTATCGATACAGAAATGTTAGCCACACTGGTTCTAACCATGCCTAGAACTAAGAAAAAAGGCCTTTTCCACATAAGCCCACATAGTGTGTGTATATACCTTTACTCCACCCGCTGTTAGAAGGCATGTGTGTGTGTGTGTGTGTGTGTGTGTGTGTGTGTGTGTCTGCTTGTTGCGCGCATCCTGAGGTGAGTGTTGTGGGGTCTTTGAACGCAGCTCTCTTGGGTTTTAGGCCCGGTCGGGGTGTGTGAGGGGCCTGCCTTTACTTGGGGGGCCGGTAGGCGATCTTGCGGCTCTTCAGGACGGACCAGCGGTGCCTCTTCATGTAGTAGAGCAGCGGGACCAGGATGCCGGCGCCCATCAGCAGCTGAAACACGGACACAGCAGAGAGGGGTGGTCAGACGGTTTCAATTCAGTGCTGCGAGATTAGTCGAAACGCGATCGTCATGTCATGCTGCGCAGTTATGCAAATCGCATGAAAAAAACCCTTTATCTAACAGTATGAAACATACAGACAGTGAACGTAGCCTACATGAAAATAGAGGCCTATCAGGCAGCTGACTACCAACTTTAATACGGGAGTGGTAAGTTCAGGTTTTGTCATTTTTTTGTGTCATGTTTGTATGTTTTCAGTTGAAAAAGATACGATATGATTGTAATTCTCTGTTAGGGTTGTCACGATACTAAGATTTTCAGCTCAAAACCACGAGGATGAAAACAAAGACCCCGAAATGTAACTGAATTTGGACAGGTTAGTGTCTTTGGTTTCAAACTGACCTGTTACTGATGTTTTGGTGGCCCGCATTAATGTTGGTGTATTATTGTTAGCCATTAGCCGCAGCTAGCAATTCAAGGCTAACGTCATGTTAATGATCATTAACAACATAAATAAATAAATCGGGGTGGGGGGGTATCAGCACTTTTGAAAATGAGTATCGTATCTGGATAAAAAGTTTTAGTACTGATACTTTTTTGAGTATCGATACTTTGACAACTTTACTCTGTGTTGTCCTTTATATTCAAGCAGGCAGACTCATGACACCATTCATTAATAATATCCTAATATCGTCCACAATAATGGGATTTGTTCAAGTATTGTCCTTTTTTTTGTGTCATGTTTGTATGTTCTCAGTTGAAAAAGATAGGAAATTATCAATAATATCCTAACTGGGCTTGTCCCGATCTGATATTTGGATCGGATGCCGATCTTTTAAAAAAACTACGTATCGGCCGGCAGGAGAAAAAGCCGATCCAGACTCCCAATCTAGTTTTTTTTAAAGTCCAATCCCACACGAGCGTTAGCATTAGCATCTGCTAACCAACAGGTCTGTGTCCTAACCATTAAGTCGTTATCAGAGTAAATCCCTGTTCATTATGAGTCTGACAACTAAGTAAGTAGCTAAATAACTTTAAACTTTAATACATGCTCTGATAGGCCGGGATCGGATCGGAAGTGCAAAAAGCTGGATCGGGACATCCCTAATCATAACCTAGTCCACAATAATCCTATCTGAGTGGCACCTTCAGTCCCATGCGTTTTCGCTGGTCGTGCTCCGGCTCGGCGGCCCATCGCAGGAAGGTGCACACGTCTTTGGCCACCTGGCTCATGGTGGCGGGGGTTCCTATGGCAACGGACAGAGAGAGAGAGAGGCGTCAGCGCCGTTGCCGGGCGCCCGTTGGGCCGTCGCTGGGCGGCCGGACTCAGACTCACCGTCCTCGAACTCCAGGATCTCGTTGTAGATGGGCGGGGCCATGCCGATGGCCTGGCCGGGGAAGTAGGGGTTGTAGTAGAGCCCCTCCCTCACGGCCACGCCCGCCGGGGGCTCGCAGTAGCCCGTCAGCAGGCTGAACACGTAGTCCTCGCCGCCGTGTCTAAGGGGGGGGGGGCAAGGGTCAGGCGCTAGGGTTGTCACCATACTAAAGTTTTCAACCCGATACCGATCCTCAGGAAAATACTCGATACCATTTTCGATACCACAAGGATTAAAAACAAAGACCCCAAAATGTAACTGAGTTTTGACAGGTTAGTGTCTTTGGTTTCAAACTGACCTGTTACTGATGTTATCTTGGCCCGCATTAATGACCCTAACCCTGACCCTCCACCCTTCATAACTGTGAGAAATGTATTTTCTATTTTTGGTTAAACTTGTTTGGACTTATTTTAAAAACCTATTTAACATTACACTATTTTAACATACTATTATGAATAGAGTTTAATTAAGTGTTTGAAAAATTAATTTCACTATTTCTAAATTAATGTCTATATTGCCATGAGGCCTGGGATCTTCCTATTGGTTATGTAATCAAAATGGCCGACTTGGATGTGGGCGGAGTTAGATATGTACGCGATTAATGCTGGCGTGTTGTTAGTAGCCATTAGCCGCAGCTAGCAATTCAAGGCTAACGTCACGTTAATGATCACAAACGACGTAAATAAATACATAAATAAATCAGTAAATGAATAAATCAATATGGCGGCTGTGGGGGCGGGGCTTACCTGGCGTTGACGATGTAGGAGAGGTCTGGCGGCAGGGCGCCGTTGTTGGCCACGCGGGCCGCCTCCGGGTTGGGGTAGGGCTTGGGGAAGTAGTCGGACAGCTTCCCCGTCCGGGTGAACATCTCGCCGCTCTCGTCGGGGCCGTCCACCACCTCCACCTGGACACAAGGGGGGGTGTTGTTGTCTTTCTTTCTCCTTTTTTTATTATTTTTTCTCTCTCCCTTTCTTTTTTTTAATTTTTTTTACTGTGTATCATTTATTTGCTCATCAGGAGATCATACATATATTGATGTTACATACATTGTACAAAGCTTACATGACTTCTCAGATTTTTTGTTTTCTTTTTTACACTGTTTTTTTTTTCCCCTTCCCTCTTTCTTCTCCCCTTTCCCCCTTCTTTCCCTCTTCCCTTCCCTTTCCCCGTAGCAAACATAAATCCCTGTATTAACATAACAAAAACAGGACCAAATAAGTATAATTACATTTTTAAAAAAGAGAAAAAAAAGAAGAATACATTAACAACCAAAAAAGAAATGAATTCCCTCTCTCTCTTTCTAAAGGATCTCTCTCCCTTCCACTACTCTTCCCTCCCCTCTGTCCCTCTGTCAGGTTCGGCATTATTGGACATATGGAAGTTTGGTAACAAAAATGAATAAATAAAGAAGTTTTGGGTAATCGAGGGGGGCTTCTCACTAACAAAGCCTCCCTTGGCAAAGCAATTTTGCTCAGCATAGCACGGTACGCAGATTTCAGTTCTGCTGCCATAATGCTGAACAGGACAAGGTAAAAAAAAAACTCACCTCCTCAGCGATGGCCTTCACCTCCTCCTCTGTGTGCGACACCCCCACCAGGTTCCTGAAGGCCAGGTACTCCATGCTGTGGCAGGCGGAGCACACCTGCTTGTACACCTGGTAGCCACGGCGGATGCTGGGGGGGGGGGGGCAAAACAGGGAGACTTCAAATGCTATTACTGTGGTTTAAGTGGGCCGGTTTCAAATTCTGATAAATATTTTCCATCATTTTAATCTATTTTCTATT